TGGTACCCCCAGGGGCCCCCAGGGGCCCTTGGGGGCCCCTGGGGGCCCCCCGGGGGGCCCCCCGGGGGGCCCCAGGGCCTATCATATCATATGAGGGGCCCCAGAGGGGCCCCTGCTGCCTACAAGGAACCCTTTGGGGCCCCCAGGGGCCCCCAAAGGCCAATTGAGGGCCCCCAAGGGGGTACTGCTCACTCCGTGGGGGCCCCCTGCAGGAGGGCCCCGCGCGAGGCGAAAAAAAATTCCTTGGGGGCCCCACCGCTGTCTCTGCAGCAGAGAGCCTCAGGGGGGCCCCCACACGGCGGGTTGCTGAAGGGGATCCAGGGGGCCCCCGGGGCCCCCCACACCAAGTAGTGGAGGCCCCTTGGGGGCCCCATACCCAGGCCGCTTGAGGGCGAACGCTGGGGGCCCTTGGGGGCCCTCTGAGGGCCAAGGTCCGTATCGTCTCCTCGAAGGGTCCCTTGAGGGGCCCCCTGGAGGCCCCCCTCAGGGGGGCCCCCAGGAGGGCCCCCACTAGGGCCCCCTTGGGGGCCACCCTGGGGGGCCCCCCGGGGGCCCTCCAGGGGGGCCCCTATGGCAGAGTGCGTGTCAAGGTAAGAGACTCGCGGAGGGAGAAGAGGGCCTCGTCTACTCTGCGCAGCAGCCGGAGAGCAGCAGCAGCTTCCTCTCGGGGGTCTTGCTGCTGCTGCAGCGCAGTAGTTGCTGCTGCAGGAGACGCTGCCGCTGCTGCTGCTGCTGCTGCTGCTGCTGCTGAGGTGCCTGTACACCGCAGATGGTCTTCTAGCTCTGCCCACAGCAGAGGGTTCGCTGCAGGGAAGAGGTGAAGCAGCTGCTGGCAAAAAGCTGCTGCTTTTCTCAACACGCTGCTGCTGCTGCTGCTGCTGCTGCTGCTGCTGCTNTGGTGTTGTTGTGAGGATCAAAGAAGTAGAAGGCTGCAGCACGAAGCAGCAGCAGCTGCTGCGCTAGGCTGCGGGGCAGCAGCGGCTGCTGCTGCTGCACTGCAACAACAGCAGCAGCTAGCTGCAAGCTCTTCACTTCTGCTGCTTCTTGGTCTTCTACGTGCAGCCCCAGCTGCTGCAGCAGCTGCTGCCGCGGGACCTCGTGCTGCATGCGCTGCTGCTGCCAGAGGAAAGCAGCAGCAGCAATCCGCAGCAAGAGTGGCTGTGTTGCTGCTGCTGCTGCTGCCCTGGTGCAGCAGCTGCTGCTGCTGCGGCTGCCACGTACAAGAGCTTCTGCTGCAGCAAGCGTTGTGTGCTGCTGCTGCTGCTGCTCTTCTGCAGCAGCAGCAGCAGCAGCAGCAGCAAATGCAGGAGAGAAGCAGCAACTCGTAAGAGCAGCAAAAGACTCAGACAAGGCCCAGTGCGGCGACTGCTGCAGCAGCCCGGGCCAATCCAGTGAGGGAATTAGCGCTGAGCTGCTGCTGCTGCTGCTGCTGCTGCTGCTGCTGCTGCTGCTGCTG